AAACCAAAAAAAAAAAAAAAACGATTAAAAGGGGGAGAAAAATGGCAGGGGTCAATAGTGGTGACGGGCGGTGATACAAAGCGGAGACCAATGGCGTGGCGAAAGGTGCCTCAAGAAGAAATGGCGTTAGGTACAAGAGGTGTAAATGACGTAGAGTTTGGGAACGGTAAAACCGATGGAGAGTTTTTCTTTTAACTTCATAGCTTTCCTAGCTGGTTATAGGTAGTTTTTTTTTATTAAAATAATGTAGGTAACCAATTTTTAAAAATTCAGTAGTTTATTTATTCAGAAACTTGTTAATTCAAAATAAGAAAGCTCGATAGTTTATTCATTAAAAAAATTCGAAAACTTTAACACCAAATATAATATTTCAAGAATATCCTTTCTTCTAAATTGAAATAAATTTTCAATCAATGCCTTAAATTTATTAGCTGTTTACAAATTCAGATTTTACGAAATCGATTTTCTGGGTTATTATATAACTACTAAAAGGATACTCGCACAATGTAGCGAGATAAACTTTGATTTTAATGTTTAATTTTTATTCTTTGTCTCTATCGATATAATACGATTTTACGTGGTTTTGAGAAAGCGATAATGTTTTTATTTTTAAATGAAATATAAATTTGAAGATAGTATAAAATTTTGAAAAAAATAAATCGATATTCGTATCAAATTAACTATTTAATAGTTCTTTTTTTTTGTGTAACTTCTTTAATTCAATTTTTTATTATAATTTAATTTTGATTTAATAACAAAGTAATTTATTTTTGGTTTAACTATTTTTTTAAGCCACGAGGGTGGTGTCTGATTGGTTTGAGCTTGGCTCCAAATGTCAAAAGTACCAGGAGGTCCCAGGTTCAAATCCAAAGAGGAATAAAAATTCTCTTGTGGCCACAGATGTTCAAATGCGGTGACTCCAGACTATCTGCAAAGTAGGTGGTCGCCCTGGGATTAGTCGGCTCGCATAGCGAGTTGGATATCCAGATTAATAAAAAAATAATATATTTTTTTTATAAAGATAATAATTAAACATTCTGTTAGAACTCAATGATCATCTTAATTATATTTTAGATTATCTATATTTAAAATAGATGTTTATCATGTATTTGATTATGTTTATCTGCAGTTAGTTACACGAGTTTAAAAATAGAGCTTTAATAAGTTGTACTTACACAAAATTACTTGTAATATTGAATTTTAAGTAATATGCATCAATAAACAGTACTTCATGCATAAAAAAATGGTTCTTAAGAGTTTTTGTCAAATGCTTTATAATATAATATAGATTATGTGTTATTTAAATTTATTTTTCTGATATTTTTATTTCCTTGTATTATAATACATATGTCAATTATATGTTTTATTTTAAATATATTATTGTGTTTTAAATTATTAAGTTTTTAAATAATTTTGAAACAATAAAATGAAATTCATAATAAATATAATTTATAATATAATATTAACAAATATTATAATCGAAATATCATTTAATTACAAACAAATAAACTAGAACTACCTACACATCAAACTTAGAGGTCATTTTGTACCAAAATATTCAACATCAAAATTATTGTTAGTAAATAATATAACACCAAATTTGATGTTATCCTATTTGCCAACATTAAAATGGTGCTTAAAATAATACAAAATTTGGGATTTGATATTGGATTGAAATTGCTTTAAAATGTCAATATATTCGGTTTATAAAATATGTAATTGGACAAATGATGAAACTCTGATTTGCACTTCGGGTTGAGTTTGATGAAAAGAACATTAAATAAATAAAATGATCAAGCATTATATATATATGTTTGTGTATGCGAAGGAAACGGTATTTATAAATCGTAAATATTTTGAGAATCATAAAAAAAAATTATTTATCATGAAGATCAATACATACAAGCATGTATGTGAATTCATAGTTCATATGTGAATTATACGAGTTCATATGTGAATCACACGGGTTCACATATGAACATATAATTCATATGTGAATCAAACAGGTTCACGTATGCACTTGTTTCACCGCCTATTTGTAAAATACGAACCACTTCTCTATCTTTCGCATATCATGCGAGACACTATCCGGTGTTTCATAGTCAAAGCCGCAAATCTTAACTAGTTTAAGAGTTATGATCACTTCTCTACTTCTCAATTACTTACCACTTCTCAAATGAATCTATGGCTATATATATATATATATATATATATATATATGTGTGTGTGTGTGTGTGTTTTGCTTTACACCCTAAATTTTAAGCCTTAGAACAAAATATTATATATATATATATATAGGGGCCTAATCAAATGAGAACTAAATAGTTTGTGGTAACCGTGAGATCCAATGTGAACCACTCATTTAATATAAATAGTTTTCTTTTTAAAATAAATTAAAGGATAATTTTGTAAATTGACAAATTGAAAACCCACCTCCCTTGAAACCCACTCCCTTGAAACCCACCGCCCTAATGTAATAATGTCACCTCCTTCCACCATCTATGGGGAACCAACCCCTCCCCACGGCCACTCACCATCTCMATCAAACCAGCCTTTCCCCCACGGCCACTCACAATCTCCGTCAAACCATCCTCTTCACCTCCAACGCCACCATCACCATCCGTTTTTTTTGTTTTCATCTTGCTACTCCCACCACCGTCTGCCTCCTACTATCCTACCGACATCCATCTACTACTGTCGACAACAGGTGACCCAAAGGTAACCATTTGGTAATGGGGTGAGCAAAACCAACGAATTTTTCTCTTTAGTTTTGGATCTTGAAAAACATGGTGGAGATACAAATCTGATTTCCAACTCCGACGTCCCTTCCCGGCCCCATACCTCGACCCAAACCATCACGGTATGTCAATCTGGCCTCGTCTCTCTCTCTCTCTCTCTCTCTCTCTCTCTCTTCCAACACAGATCTATGAACCTAAAATGGTCTTCTCACCATCTTCAACTATCTTTATCCCTCT